AAAATTTACAAATGGCATGATCATTTCTTTGATCATATAAACCTGTTTATTGGGTTCTTAGTTGGATTTTATATTTTTGCCTGCATGTTGATGTGCTTGTTCAGTTTTTTCTTCATCATCATGATGATTAGCTTTTTTAAACACCCTCCACACTCATCTGCCAGACTTTTAAAACCCTTCTCACTTCACAACAACTTATTGATATGATTTAGCTCCATATGAGAAAACAAGAAAACGTTTTGCCACTAAACTTCAATGTTTTGTGTTTCAGGAGTTTTTGGACAAATCTGGAAAGTGTTTTATAAAACGGGATCAATATGTGCTCTTAAAGGATCCACAGTAAACATGTCATGCTCGTACACATACCCTCAGCAGTATACATTAAATTATACATTCTGGTTCAGGAGATGGGATAGAGAGATGCAAAATTTAAAAGCATATCCAGAGTATAAAGACAGGGTTGAATACATTGAAGACAGACAAAACAAAACTACCATCCTCAGACTGCACAACGTCACTAAAAATGATGAGAGCGAGTATTGTTGCAGATACATAATTGAAAAAGATAAAGAAAGATGGATTGATCAACCAGGAATTCAACTTAAAGTTTCTGGTAATCCACTTCACTCCTTCATTTCTATTAATAATTTCATTTCTTGGTCTTGGTTAGATAGATGTGTTTCTCCAGCTCTTCAGGTAAAGGCACCACAGCTGGTGCTGGAGAAAGAAAGAGTCAATCTGACCTGTGAAACCACATGCAGTCTGACAGACGCATTCATCTGGTACAAAAATGGACAGGCTTTAAAGATCCACAGCAAAACACTCCAGCTTCAGTCAGAGCGCAGTGATTCTGGGCGTTACAGCTGCGCCATCAGAGGACATGAACACCTGCCCTCTCCTGCTGTCAGCATCACACTCATGTGTGAGTAAATACTTACTCATTCAGATTTATGAAAAATTATGTCAAACAACTGAGTAAATATTCCAGAATATCATGTGGTTGCTGTTGAAATCATGCTTGAAAACCAAGTCGATCAGATACACTCTCTGCCTGTCAATCCAATGTAACTGTACCTAAACCATCTGACTGCAAAATACATTACAAATATTTTATAACAGAATAGATGTTTTGCCAGTTCTTTTTAAGTATTAGGTATTATTAGGTGTATTACCTTCAGATATTAGACTTATTATTGTGAGTCAGTCCACATATAAAGTTAAAAATGGCTAAAATCGCCATTCAATTCAAATCTAATTCTCAACTGTGGTGTTTTGTAAATGAAATGCAATTGTTAGTTGCTGCTGTATGAGATGAAATTACAAACACTATATGAAGGGAAAGTGAAATTATTCAACAAATTATCCAGCAGTTTTTCCCCCAACAAACAAATAAAGATGGCATATGAATAAGAAGACCATGTTGTTTAACCTCTAGATCCTCCAAAGAGTGTCTCGGTGTCCGTCAGTCCATCTGGTGAAATAGTGGAGGGAGTTTCAGTGACTCTGATCTGCAGCTGTGACTCAAACCCTCCTGCTCTGAACTTCAGCTGGTTTAAGGAGAATCAAAGCCCAGCTGTTGGATCTGGACAGAGTTTCAGCATCTCCAGCTTTAACTCCAGTCACAGCGGACGCTACTATTGTGAGGCTCAGAATCAATATGGATCTCAGAGATCAGCGTCTGTTTCAGTCTCTGTTAAAGGTAGTGCAGCTTATTTGCCTACATTAGTCGTTCTAAAGTGAAGCAAATGAATCTGTTCTGATGTTTTACTCTGTTGTCTCAGTTGTAGGACATCTCGCGATATTATACGTATTCATTGGATTGATTTGCGGAGCTGCAGTTGGCGTTGTGATATTTCTAATTTGGTAAGATGTCTAAAATCTCTCACATGAAGTATTCAAAAACTATTATTTACTAATATATACAGTCAGGATTTACAGAGAGGCAGTAAAACATTGGTGATGAAAAGGCATGGACACATGGACTTGCAGCACTTTTATGGGAGGAGAGTATTTAAATGATTCATGCAAGGTTATTTGCTAAGTTTGGGGTAGGCAGTTTACTGGTGTTTGCAGCACTATTTAATGCCCCAAAAGCATGTCTCAACCCATCTGAAAATACATTGTAAGTAGATCAACTGCAGAACTTTCCACACCCATCAGCACTTTTCCTGGGATTGTGCTCTCACACTAATCTGCCCTGTTTAGTAAATCTGGCCTCAAATATTCTGATTGGTTGCATTGATTCATTTATGGCTGTAATTGTTGGACAGACAAATTGCTTGAAGCTGGAAGCATATCACGTTACATCTGCTCAGGTCATAATGTAATACAGACATTTTTGTTTACCACTGTTTTTATAGTCAGCTGTTTACACTTTGTTCTATGATAACATATTATGTATTCTACTTATATTCATTGTTTTAAAGGCGAAGCAGGTGGTTAAAAAAGAAAAATGATTTAATGGAGTCTCAGGTGAGAAATGGATTTGGTTATTGATGGTATACTGATCATGGAAATGAACTGGTAACTCAAAAAGTTGTTTACAGCATTAGTTATTATGATCTCTCTATTCTGTTTTAATGGCAAAGATGGATCATCCCAGAGCTCATCATGACAGACATAAAGCTTGTGACGTGACTGAACCTGTGTATGAGAATGTAACGGTAAGAGTTTCCTCCTTCATGAAAGACGAAAGCCTCCTCACCTTTAGCCAGAATGAATTAAATGCTCTTCAATGTCAGTGTGAAAATGTCATATGTCTTTTGAATAAGTATGGAGATTTGTATAACACAAAAAAGCTTGTTTAAAAGGTTTTCAAATTTAGAAACAGGCAGGATTTAATTTACTGTTGTCAGTGGCGGTTCTAGATTAACTGGCAGAGGCCACTTGTGCTTTTAGTGGACACACCTTAACATTTACCTTAACATACCTTTGGGATTATTTCAAGCCATTTTTCACTGTCATATATCAACTGCAATCTAGGTGGAGGGTAAACCAACTCCAGGGAAAGGCTAGCCTAATGTAAATGGAATTTATTAACAATGCACATCATAAACTCATCTTTTTAGGCAAGTATCAGATATGGGTGTCATGTCATAAAATATTTTAATACGACTTAAATTGTTTTTAAACGAAATCACAATTTAATTGAAACATTGTAAGTTTCTAATTATAACGCCATGATTATTTAAACAGCAAATAAATTATAACGAGAAGATAAGAAAGTGCAGTAAACTGTAAAACAGCTTGTGCTACAAACCAGTGTGTTCATAATTAATATAATATATTAAAACAATATGGTAAGACACACTAGTTTGCAATATCAAGCAGAAAAACAAGCTAAAAACAGCTGGAAGCGGATGACACCGAAAGTATGACACGGAAAATTTACAAATGGCCGCAGCCACATTTACAGGAAAAATAAGGTGAATACAAAAAGCGAGAAAAGAACATTTGCATTATCAAAGAACTGACTTATCACTGACTTAAGTCTAGCACTAGTTTAAGCACTCTCAGAAAAAAACTCGTTTTAATAACTGAATCTGTTTACACTGCGAAATTAATCTCTTACTTAGATAGTATGCACATCTGCACTTTGTTGTGTATCATGAGAGAAATGGCGAGAGAGCAGAATTTAGTCAGCGAACAAGTTTCGACTCATCTGAACACTTCTGATTGGTTATTGCATTAATAAGCTCAACAGAATCACGTGTGATTGGTTCTGCTCAGTGCAGTAAAAAATGCATAAAAAATATGACGCAAAATGAAGCAGGTGGACGAAAAACGATTCAGTTGAGTCTTGAAAAAATGATTTTGGTTAGCAATTACTGGTCATGGAGATGCATTATTATTTATGATCTCTCTACTCTGTTTTCAATGGCAAAGATGGATAACTCCAGAGCTCATCATCATGACAGGCGTAAAGCTTGTGATGCGACTGAACCTGTGTATGACAATGTAACGGTAAGAGTTCCTCCTTCATGAAAGACGAAACCCTCCTCACCTTTAGCCAGAATGAATGAAGTGCTCTTCAATGTCAGTCTGAAAATATCAAATGTCTACTGAATAACAATGGAAATTCAATGAAACACAAAAAGCTTGTTTGAAAAGTTTTCGGATTTAGAAACGTAACGTGGTGGGGTGGGATTTAATTTACTGTTACTATAAAATAAATTAAGTTATTTTACACCAACCAGAAGTGTGAACTATATTATTTAAGGAGAAGCAGGTGGATAAAAATGAGCAACGGTTCAGTTGAGTCTTGGGTGAGAAAATAGAGTTTGGTTATCAGTTGTTTACTGATCATGGAGATGAACTGGCAACTCAAAAAATCATGATTCAAGTTGATTTCAGACATGAGTTAATTATGATCTCTCTGTTCTGTTTTAATGGCAAAGATGGATCATCCCAGACCTCATCATGACAGACATAAAGCTTGTGACGTGACTGAACCTGTGTATGAGAATGTAACGGTAAGAGATCCTCCTTCATGAAAGATGAAAGCCTCCTCACCTTTAGCCAGAATGAATTAAATGCTCTTCGGTGTCGGTGTGAAAATATCAAATGTTTAGTGAATAATATGGAAATTCAAGTAACACATAGAGCTTCTTTGAAAAGTTTTCTGATTTAGAAACTGTAGCTAAGGCAGTGGGGCAGGACTGAAATTTACATTTAGACAGAGTAACTCAAGTCATTTTACACCAACCAGAAATTTGAAGTATGTTACTTATGAATGTATTCATTATTTCATTCTTTCTTTCAGCTTGATGGGAAGAGGACGTAGAACTTGTGAGCTTAATGATTTTACAGAATAATGTATCTTAGTATCTTGAAAATCCTTTAATGCAGCCTAAATCTCCTGTTTGAATGTTAGATTCCTGTTCAATAAAGGCATTTATACATTGACATACATGTAAAGCTTCTTTAAAACAATTGTGAAATGCCAGACAAATAAAACTGTCTTGAATTGACATTTACAGTAAAGGCAGTAGATCATTTTTTATTTAAATTGAGTTACGATACAAAGCATATTTGCATAGAAACGGGAAGTTATTACAATCACTGACAGATTATGTTCCAAACTCAACATTTGTGTACTACTGATGAAAGCCACTGCGAACAAGGTATGAGAGTTTTTACATATTATTTAATAAAGAGCTTGTACATTTCCATTTCAATTAAAGGTATGTAAATATGTGAAGAATAAAGAAATGTCCTTGTAGATGATAACAAACATTTGTAGATGCTGGACCAGAGTCATACAGGATGAAATATTGTCTGATCGCTGTTATTCATGAAGTGTCTGGATCTCTGACACACATGATCTGATATAATAAAACTCTTTAATCGAGAAACACATAAACCTCTGTTGGACAACAAATTAATTGCATTAAATAAATGAGTTGATTAAAAACAAATAACCTGCTATTATGAGTATTATTATACTAATGCACATAACGTCACTAACATAGTCTGACAGATTGCAGTGGTGATGAAGGTCAGAATGACTCTTTCTCTTCCTCTCATCTTTCTGCTCATGATTTCTGGTGAGTCACAGTTGTTGCAGCATTACTTTAAAATATTTTGCAATGACACATAAAAAAATCCATTATATTGAATCCCTGATATTTTTGCCAGTCTCAGCCTGTCAATCACTTTGCATGTTCACATTTGCTGACATGGCTCACATGTCTTTAGAGGGCGGAAGAGAGAGGTAGTGTGGTTGAAGTTAGCAAAACAGGTGAAATTTTGAAATTAAACGATGGTTTTCTTGCCTGCTTTGATCATGTCAACTTGTCTTGAATTTAGTTGGACTTCATATTTTGGTCTGCATGTTGATGTGCTTTTTGCTCTGCATCATGATAATTTGTGCTTTTTTGCAACACTTTTTATTCTCATTTGCAGGACTTTTGAGACACTTCTCTTCATATTTTGGTCTGCATGTTGATGTGCTTTTTGCTCTGCATCATTATGATAATTTGTGCTTTTTTGCAACACTTTTTATTCTCATTTGCAGGACTTTTGAGACACTTCACAACAACTGATTGATATTATTAACATTTGTAAAAACTCAAGCTTCACTGCTGTTCTTCTATATGTTTGTATTGCAGGAGTTTTTGGAGAAAACTGGAATGTGATTTATGAAACTGAATCAATATGTGCTCCTAATGGATCCACAGTAAACATGTCATGCTCACATACCCTCAGCAGTATAAATTGATCGATAGATTCTGGATAAAGATTCCAGATGTAGAGATCAAAAGTTAAAAAACAATATCCAGAGTATAAAGACAGGGTTGAATACATTAAAGACAGACAAAACTGCTGTCCTCAGACTGCACAACATCACTGAAAATGACGAGAGAGCTTATTGTTTCAGAGTAGTAACTTATACTGAAAGACAAAAATGGTTTGGTCAACCAGGAATTCAACTTAAAGTTTCTGGTAATCCACTTCACTCCTTCATTTCTATTAATAATTTCATTTCTTGGTCTTGGTTAGATAGATGTGTTTCTCCAGCTCTTCAGGTAAAGGCACCACAGCTGGTGCTGGAGAAAGAAAGAGTCAATCTGACCTGTGAAACCACATGCAGTCTGACAGACGGATTCATCTGGTACAAAAATGGACAGGATTTAAAGATCCACAGCAAAACACTCCAGCTTCAGTCAGAGCGCAGTGATTCTGGCCGTTACAGCTGCGCCGTCAGAGGACATGAACACCTGCCCTCTCCTGCTGTCAGCATCATGCTCATGTGTGAGTAAATACTTTAACCAGACAATAAATCAGAAAATCTCTCTGCATTTGAATACAAGGGGTTTTGCATATAAGCCCCTGCTGGTAGATGATGTAACTACTATTTTCTATTAAATAGACAAACATTTCCTTTAACTTTAATACACAAACCAATGCAATGCATAATTCAAAATATGAGTAAAACACCTGAAAAAATCCTGGATTGTCAGGTAAAGGCACCACAGCTGGTGCTGGAGAAAGAAAGAGTCAATCTGACCTGTGAAACCACATGCAGTCTGACAGACGCATTCATCTGGTACAAAAATGGACAGGCTTTAAAGATCCACAGCAAAACACTCCAGCTTCAGTCAGAGCGCAGTGATTCTGGCCGTTACAGCTGTGCCGTCAGAGGACATGAACACCTGCCCTCTCCTGCTGTCAGCATCACGCTCATGTGTGAGTAAATACTTTAACCAGACAATAAATCAGAAAATCTCTCTGCATTTGAATACAAGGGGTTTTGCATATGAGCCCCTGCTGGTAGATAATGTAACTACTATTTTCTATTAAATAGACAAACATTTCCTTTAACTTTAATACACAAACCAATGCAATGCATAATTCAAAATATGAGTAAAACACCTGAAAAAATCCTGGATTGACATTAATTTATATGAGGTTCTGTAGGTAGCATGTTAATTATCATACACTTTCAAACATTAAGTAACTCGTTGTAGTCCCTACCAGCCGTCTGGCCGTCAGCCAGAATTTTAAAAGACGATATCTCCGTTTGCATTTAACTTTTAGCTTCGTAACTTTGCAGATATTGTTTATGCTCAAACAGCAACATTACATTACACACCAACTAACGTTAAAAAAGTGAAATCGCAATGAACCACCCCTTTAAAAGTCAGTTTAGCTTCATTAAGTTTCATGCTCTGTGATGATCTCAGTCGTTTATGTATTTGTCATTTTTGCAGATCTGCTGCAAGCCAAGAGATGGATTTATTTGTGATTTACAGCAGCATTAGATGATCCAGACTAATCTAAGTAGATCCAGACCATAAAAAGACTTTTTCTTGCTTTAGTATTTTTTGTTTAATTTAATCATGTTTTTGAGTGTGCATTGTTTATTAAGCATCTGCAGCTCCATCTTAGTTAAAACTCTGATGCCTTAGATCTCTTGTAATCCAAATAAACAAGCAAACACAGAGCGTAGTGACTACACTGTGTTTGTATGTAGTGTAAGGCATTTGTGAGCTCTCTCTCTCTCCATATCTAGACATTTAAAGGATTTGCTGTTTTGTTTCTCATTCAAGTCGCAGCATAAATATAATTTTGCAAAGTAAAATACATAGGCTTTTATTTACCTGTACTTAAATCAAGACCAGAGCACTGCAGGAACATGAACACATGTGAGACATGTTGATCAAAGTGAGAGTCGTCACACCTGCTCAGCTGTGGACAGAACTCACCTTTACAGAATGTATTGCCATATTTCATGTGCTAATAAAAAGGTACAAACACTTCAGTGATTTCAGAGTCTTCCCTTGAATCACGTACTTCTCACACGTTTAGTAAATTGCTAAAACTATATCTGAAAAATAAACCTACCGTAATAATACTAAAGCCAAAGAGTGTGACAACTAACCTCATTCTGCAGAAATCTGGATAGATTTTCTTTTTTTTCTTTTCTGTCAATACTCAGTAAACTTCAGTACTGTAAACTCAACCACTAGGGGGAGCTGAACCCGCCGAGTGCGTGACAGGTGGATGGATTTGTAACTTGCTGACAAGCGAGCGAGGTCTGTAAGGCGTGTCGCGTGTTATCATAACATGTCTGTTTTGTATGGTGACCGAGAAGTGCAAAACAAATCACAATTCTGAAAACAAAATAACAAATTACAAACGCAAATGCAAATCTTAAAAACAAAATAACAATTCAGAAAACACAACAACATTTCAGAAAACATTATATATATATACATGTGACATATATATATATATATATATATACACACAGTCAGCAGTGAGTAATACCAAACCAATGGCGCTGTCTCAAACTATACCTACCTTTTCCGGTTTGTCTGATTTGTCGTTGTGTTTTCTGACTTGTTATTTTGTTTTCGGACTTGTCATTGTATTTTCTGAATTGTTGTTTTGTTTTCTGAATTGTTATTTTGTTTTTTAGATTTGCATTTGCGTTTGTAATTTGTTATTTTGTTTTTAGAATTGGGATTTGTTTTGCACTTCTCGGCCACCATAGTTCTGTCTTAAGATGCACCGTTTTCACTTTATTGGATATTGGTGAAGAAAGCTAAGGTATGAGTGTTCATACATATTATCTGAGACAACATTAGTACCTTTTTTTCTGAGAGTGCGCGGATGTTCAACACGACATCTTATTGTGATGCACATGTTCACTTCTTCTCTAGAATATATCTACTGAGATACCTTCATTTGATCGACTTTTGGATGTATCCTTCACTGCTTATGATATCACACAATCCTGTGCTTTTGCAGGGCTGCCAACAGTGGTTGGGGTTGTTTTGTTAAAAAAAAAACTTTTGTCTGACAACTAGACATGCTTAGTAGTGAACGATATGATACCTGGTGCTGTGTTTTATCATAGAATTATGTAAAATAATACTGCAAAACAAATAACTTTTGACCACAACGAGAATAAACAATGTACTGCACGATGATGATGAGAAACAGGAGCCCAAATCCAGCTGCTACTGCAATAGTGGCATACAAACCAATGATATACATTATATTCCAAGTTGTATCACTTTTTAGAATGTAAGGATGCGTCTGGAAGTCATTGAAAGTAACAATGTGCTACACCCCATCTAGATCTGGATACCTGTCAGTAATGTGCAACTTGGACCCTAATATGGCAGTGAGTAGATGGTGTACACATTAACAGTTCTTGACTAATTCTGAGTCTTGTTTTAAACTGAGGAACTGCTTCAACCAGTTTTTTTTTAGAGAAAACTCAACAGATCTCAATAGAGAAATGTTAAAGACACATCAGCGTCTCAGGTGTCAGTTGTTCAAGACGGTGGCTGAAATGAGGACAGAACTTAAAACTATCTGAACAGGTAAGTGTAATTGACGAATACTGTTTTCCAACCCCTTTTTTAGTTTCACATATTAGGAACTGTGCTTTTTTACTCTTAACCTCAGGATAGTCTAGCGATTCATTAAAGGAACAGTAAGCTGTATTGGCTAAATAATTTAATAACCCTACACATTTGTCCATTTAAAATTAAACAACCTAGTAGCATTGCAACCCTTCATTGTTGTTTCACATGCAAAAGGGATGTTTATTTGCACAAATAATGGTGTGATCATATTTCCATGTGACATGTTTTTGAACCTTGTACTGTACATTTTTTGCCAAGGTATTTTTGCCATATACTGTTCAGAAATGGTGTTGATGTCCAGACAAATTGTCCAGACAAACTTGTGCCATGCTTGTAATGTAGAATGTGTTTGGGGTTGAGGATATTGGATTGCATATGTTTTATAGATTGCCATATATAGCTTCTCCCTGGGTAGTGTTGAACTGTAGGTTCTGGTAGATTGGGTCTGATTGGCTCTCATCATTAGACTTGGTTCTGGATTTCTTTATGGTGGCGTAGGGTCTGTCATCAGGAGCGTTCTGATAAACAGCATTAGCCTAAATCAAAGACATAAAGCATCATTCTATTGGTAATAAGCTGTTAAAGTGGCTTGTAAAGTATAAGCAGAAGTTGTGATTGTGGTGGCTCAGATCTTATGCTGTTTCTGTGCTCCACTCACCTCCTCGCTGTGATGGGAATTGTATATAGATCTATCAATAACACCTCCTGAAATAAAGCAAAGAATACAGTTTTTTAACTGTCTTTTAAAAATAGTTATATATATAATAGATTTTTTGGATGTAGTATTTAAATGTTTACACACTTGACTTCTTGACTCTCTTTCTGCACTGACAAACAGTGACCAGTCCAACTGCACACAAGATGACCATGATGACCAGACCAGCCGCAGCGTAAGGAATATAATATAAAGGCACTGGGAATATATGGGCAATTGAGGATGATTTTTTGTGTTCAGCACCTATTGTAGAAACCATTTGGGTCATACCATTTTTGATTTGCATTACATAACATACAGTATGTGAAATGTCAATATTTCAGTTTTGTCAATGTCAGTTTTTTTGCATGCTGGACCAGATTCTTTGACAAAACCTTTAAAAGGAGGACTTAACAACATCAGTAAACTAAGAGGTTTGACTTCCTGTTGAAGTCAGTGAGAGTGTGCTTTCCTTAGTGGCTGAAGATAAGAAAAAGGAGTGTCTTGGTTTAGTCGAGTGCATTTCACTGCTTGTTTGTGTTTCCATCATCCTGTGATGAATCATTTCTTCCCCGTTTCCAGTGTTGGCTATTTGTACGTTTTAGAGTAATTTCAAAGACATGTCTGTATTTCTGGTGTCAGCCTAAAGAATAGCTCTTTAAAACTTCTTAACTTGCCATTTAATATGAAACAACATGGCCGTACTCAACCCTTCATTACTTTGTCTCACATGCAATATTGCTATTAGGAATATAAGATTAATCATCTGGCAGTGTAATGAAACGCATAATATTGCTCATCATTCTTACCTTTAGATACTATCAGGATGACTTTCTTAAATGTGTCTGGACCAACTCTCTCCACTCCACACCAATAAATCCCAGAGTCGGACTCCCGTAGATCAGTGATGTTCACGGTGAAGTTTCCAGCTCCATAATCCTTCAGTGTGTATCTCCCTTTAGGTGTCTGGTCAGACTTCACAAATATATCTCCGTATCCACATGGATCTCTGCAGAAATACTTTTTGTTGGTTGAAGCCCAGCTGTGGGAACATGTAATTGTGATGCTTCCTTCACTGTATCCTTGTCTAGAAATTTCACCAGTAGTTGAATTAAATTCTGTTAGATAAACAAATGTCTGTTAGGGTTAGGGAGTTTGTAGGAAATATTGTGTTGATACTGTCAGTTCCTCTTCAAGACTCTTCGGTTTCAGTTATTCATTTGCAAAATCACTTACTGTTATATTTACTGTACTTTTGGTCCGGAGGAACATTACAATAGGAAGTGTGAATGCTTCACAACCACTGTATTAATTTCCTATAAATGTGTTATTTACAGCACAAATGTAAACTGACAGATACGGTCAGTGGAAAAATTATTTGGTCAGAGCAGGGGTAGACAAGTTTGGTCCTAGAGAGCCGCTGTCCTGCAGAGTTTAGCTCCAACCCTAATCAAACACACCTGAATAAACTAATCAATGTCTTCAGGATTACTAAGGCTACATAGGTGCACTTTTTTTTCAAGGTTGGAGCTGAACTCTGCAAGACTGCGGCTCTCTAGGACCAAACTTGCCAGAGAGGTCAGAGAGATCAGGCTAACACACATTTAACAGAGAACTCCGGTCTGACGCACGCGGGTTCTCGCGTTATTTCCTTATCACTTCTCGCGTTTGTTTTGTTGTTAAACGTAGTTTGCGGACCAGACAGAGCTGTCGGTGATTCTTCCTATTGTGAAGTCATGCAGTGTGAAACCCCCTGTCCCCGATCCATCGTGCAATGTGAACACAGCAGCGACTGAATGCTACCCCAGATAGTCACGCAGTGTGAAAACAACGGCGATCCGACGAGTTTGAAAATCGTGCAGTGTGAACTCGGCATTAATTAGTTTGACCTTCTGTAATCAGCTAGAGGTTATTGCTGTTTGTGACGAGTGGGGGCGGGGCCGAAAGCCGTGGGAACGGAGCGAGGCCGGTGGAGTAATTGAGAATGAGCGACACCTGCACCACTCACCGGTCTCGAGTCCCACGGAGGAGCTCCGGAAGGATAAAAGTAGGAGTGACGACAGTGAAAGATGAGAGAGGACCAGGCCTGGATTTTATTTTGTGTTTTGGTTCTGTTTGTGCGTGACAGTCGTCCGGCTGTCGCGCTATTTTGGGTTTATTTTACTCTCTCTCTCTCTCTCAGGTAATATTTTACATACATGCTGGGTACAATTAACTATGCTTTACCATCCTTCATCTATTTTGTAACCAAGTCAAGTGTAACCATAACAAAATATTGTTATTAAACCATTTCAATTATTAATTATGAGCTAACTCGTCTTGATTCAAGGTTAATATTAAAGTGCAACCTATTGCAATACAATAATCACTCAATAGCAACGCTCTCCCATATATTTAGCTATTCTAACTGCACTTCTTTCCGTCGTTGGTATAAGTGGCAGTGGGTGGTAATAGACTAGAAATGTACAGTTTTATACCATCGTGCTGATAACGTTTCTTTAGTCATTCGGCAATCCTACAGCCTGAACCACCGTAGGGAAACCATCCTTACATTTGTTACATTGTTTTTCACCCATGTCTCCATTTGGGTTTTGCCATACTTATAACTGTTAACCTGGAACCATTAGGTTTTTATCTTTTGTTCATTATTATTTGCATTTTTATGAGTTCAACAGGTTTGATAATAAATTGTTGCCATGTCTGCTTTAGTTGTTGTAAGTATTGTAAAAATGTACAGAAGCAAACAAACAATATGGTCTCGTCTTCACTCCATTTAATGCAATATGGTTCGATCACTGTTCAATTAAATTAAACTAAATGCGTAAAAGTTTGTTAGACTCACTAAAGCACATGAATTTTAATGAATTAAGCATTGTTCATAAAACTTCTCACTGTACACTAAAATATGTATTTTTTTAAGTAGATGAAACAATTATTAAAAAAATAAAACAAAGATTATTAGAGTATTCAAGAAAACATTGTTTCAGATTTTGTAATTCAAAATGTCATGTTTGTTTCCCAAAGTTACAAAAATGTTTCTGAAATTTACTAGCAATTTTTGAGTGAATTTTTCTACACCAACTGTTTTTCAGAGTACTTAATCGCTGTAACATTTAACATTCATGGGCTAATTTAAAGGGGTCATCGGATGCAAAATTCACTTTTACATGTTGAACTGAAATGTGTGTTGGCAGTGTGTGTACACAACCACCCTATAATGATAAAAATCCACACAGTGGTTTTTGAAAAATATTGATAAATCACGACCCCTTTCTAAAATCAAGCCGTTCTCAGATTCTTGGCTGTGTGATGTCACACAAACCCAGGCCCCTCCCACGATTGTTGATTGACACTAGTGTTTTACCTTAGACCCGCCCTGAGTGAGCTGTCATCAGTCCACCATTGTTTCTGCGCTGGAGCAGATGTAGACAAGAATGTCTCCTAAGCGATTGAGGTGTTCTGTTGTTGGATGTAATAATGAACATAGCAGTCGTCATTTACTCACGACATCCAAACCGCTGAAGACGCAGAGGATTAGCTTTGCTTTTGAAGGGAATGAGCGGAGCTCATTAGCATTTAAAGGAAAATGCACCATAACGGCTTGCTGTGAACAGAGCTGTTTTTGGCAGGTTTAAAGGGTGTTTCTTACACTACCATTGAGAAATTTTAACCAAACTATGTTATAGACTTTTCATTAAGATCCTAAAGAATCATATCAACTTGTGGAAAATGGGCATCCGATGACCCCTTTAAGGGAACCCTAAACTTTTATAGACTTACAAAAGTAAAATATTGCTTTACCCAGGTTAATATGTACCCTTAGCCTGGGGGTTCGCAGTAACCCATAATTATATGTGGAAAAGCCTTAACATGGCCCTGAAGAAGATGAGGTCTCAGTGCTTTTAAAGGCAGAGGTCTGTGGAAAAACTTGCATGCTGTTTTTTCCTGCTTAAAGCACTTGTTTTCTTTCATCATTCAGCAAACTGAATCACACATCCATAAAGAACTTACCTGACAGAAACATCCAAAGCCAGAGAACACGGAGGAACTTCATTTTGAATGGGGATCCTATTATGTCCAGTCTATTCCAGATTTCGTTTTTACTGCTGTGATACTGACCAACTGTTGGCGATGTTGGAGCTCTGTTATACCATCAAGCGCAGTAGTAAACACATATGCCTATGTTCTCCTGTGCACTCTTTCTCACATGTAAGCTGGCTTCTAGACGCCCACACACTCATATCCACAACCTGACCACTTCCTCTTGATGTAACTTTTGGTTTGAATGGACATTCCCTTTTCACACAGGACCAGGGTCAGGTTAGTTCTGCCTGTCGTTGATGATAATGTGAGGTTTGAGGGTTCATAGTAATTAAAATCCTTGCATGGCATTTTTAGGTTGTCAGCAGAATATTACAAACTAACTCTCTTTGATAAAAAAAAAACTATAATATTAATGAGAGAGTACAAAAAAAATCCATCTTCTAAACCATGCCTTTACCCACATACAGAATGATAAAACTACCAGTACCGGTAATGTTATTTTAAAGCTGTTGGGTGTACATGTGTCATTCACCAGTGAATGTTAATTTATCTGTACACAAAGAAAAGTGCATTACTGTTTTAATTAATGTTTTTTGTTTATGAAGTTCATCTCTAGCTTTCTAGTTTGTAGTTACTTATTGTAAATGTAATTTCAACCTATCAACCTAAAGGAGATTCATTTTAAACTCTGATTTTTGTTGTTGTCAGAAACTACACGATAAAATATAGTCAGCCTTAGTGTAGTTTAGTAAACTGCTATCAAAAGAATAGCTTGCAAAGCCACATAACATTCACTACCCGCTTCCCTCAAAATGAGGTGTCTCATTTTCACTTTCTTTGATATTTTGTTTTTTGGTTGCTGTTCATATATGTAGTTTTAGTCTCTATGGTTGTTTGCAGAAGTTTACAGAAGATTCCAGGAACTAATGATTGAATTAGGCTTTTTTATGTGTGTGTGTGTGTGAAGCTTATTCATATAGTAGACATTTTGCCTGATACAAATGATGAACAAGAGCAGATGAACAAAAACAATGTATCGTCAGCTTTATTATTAATATTTTTTTTTTTCAAAATTCATTCTTTATCTTAAAAAAAACATTAAACAGTGGCATAACACACATGATGCATGTATAGAGCAACAAATAAAAAACTGCCTTAACATGACAGTCTTAATGTAATTGCAAAATGGATTATAGTGGATTGTAGGCAAGTGATTGCAATTTGCTCAATGATATGCAAATAAAATAAGCAGTATATTTTGACATCTAAAGCCACTTTTTATAATGCCTACACAGTAATGACTTATCTTCATTTGGGGGCTTTTGTCAGCAAATATAAATGTGGTTCAAGTTATCTGTACACCTGTATATTATGTAGTTCTGACTGACAGACCTAGTCTTAAGAGAGGATGCAGCTTTTCTGATTAAGTTGGGATGATCACTCTGCCATCAAGGTGCGCAAGATGTTAAACGTCAAGAGTTAATATTTGATAATACTTGATTATTTAATAATAAACTTGCATTTTACAGGCTTGTTGAATTAAATATACTTGTCTTGAACTTGAGATCTGGGATTGTTGGTCTAGAGACCAGTACTCTGAACATTATTAATTGATGCAGCAATCAGAGATTTCCATATACTTCACTTGATTGGACTGTGCTGAGGTTTAGATTCTGATAGACTGAATTTGATTGGGTTTTTCTGACATCAGTGTTGTCTGTAGATTTAATTTCTGTGCTGTTCTGTGCAAAAAGAAGGCACATTGTTAATGTGGCTGTCAGCCATTTGTAAAAGGATGTAAAGATTAGACATTCGACAAGAGGTAAAGATGTTTAGTTCCTGTTTGTGGTCAGTATCTGCCTTGCAGAATCACTGGCATCACTCACCTCTTCAACTTTGCATGCATTGTTTCTGTTGACAGGCATTGCTGTTGCACAACCTGAGAAAATTGTAAGACAAGAGTATTGGCTATTTTTTTTACAATTCAAATCAGGCATTGAGTTGATATTTAGCACAGTCTGTGTGTGTGTATATACATGTGCACATACTTTCTGAGGTCTCGACTCGCTTTCTGCACTGATGAACAGTAGCCAGTCCAACTAAAAATAAGATCGCTGCTATGACCAGACCACCGACAACATATTGTGAAGTAGGCCTATGTGCAGACACTGAGGAAGTGAGAGAGAAAATTGGCATAAATCGATCGTCAGATCGAATAGGTATACTACCGAACTTTGCTTGGAAATTACTCGAAAACATCATCTTATATAAATCGGTGGTTATCAGACCTTGTCCTGGAGTAACCCTGGCAGATGCCATTCCGGTTCATTGTTAGCCTTGCCAAAGGCTGCTAAATGTGCACTGTACATGGTTTATAAAAAGGCTGAAGTTGTTACCTGTTACTAAGGTTGAGCGTTTGAGTGCATCAGGGCTTGAATCTCTGGAGGTTTGGCTTGCTGTGGTAGATGCAGATCCTGAATGTGCTGCTGGTGTAGTTGTGTGCGAATCAAGGGACGTTTGTGTTTCTTTGTATGGTTGTGTGGAAATGGTGATGCTTTCACTTGAATCTATGTGTGATGAAAGAAAATGTAATACCGCCAAGAAAATAGGGAAAGACATTGGAGACAAGTTGTCATTCTTACCTTTAGATACTGTCAGTCTGATTGTGTTATATGTGTCTGTTACAGCTCTCTTCACTCCACACCAGTAAATGCCAGAGTCTGACTCCTGTAGATCAGTGATGTTCACGGTGAAGGTGCCATTTCCAAAATCCTGCAGTCTGTATCTTCCACTAAGTGACTGATCAGATGAGACCAGAACACCAGTTTTATATGTGCATGGTTCTCTGCAGAAATACTTGCTGTTTTTTAATGCCCATTTATGGGAACATGTAATTACGACATCTTTTCCACTGTACCCATGTATATTAACCTCTTTGGTGATAGTAATCGCAAATCCTGTTGGATTTAAAAAAAGAAAGAAAAAGATCTCAGTATTTCACTAAATTCATTTTAGATTAACATCACAGCGAGTGATGAGTTAAATCAGATTAATGATGTGAGCCAATGTAGAGACTGTCCCGTAAGAAACACATTTTTTTTTAAAGAAACAAAATTTGGGCCATGAGAAAACTGACCTGACAGAAAGATCCAGAGCCAAACAACACAAAATGACTTCATTTTGAGCTCTAATTCTGTTGTGTGTGAGCTTTCCGCTTTAACCGAGCAGCCTTTAAGTCTCCAGATAATGGAGGGAATGAGGCATGTTTGTGTCTTCACAGCCCTGAAATACCACCGATGCTTGCAGATGACACTTCCTTTGTAATGCATTGGTCTGAGCAGTAATGTTTCTGTCTGTATGTACTGCTGAATCAGCACACTGAATGCATCTGAAAACTTACAACATCCTGTAGTTGTCATTAGTGGTTCTAGTTCAAGACACACAGTGGCCACTGGCCAGTGCCGAGCTAATTTTGCCAACCCAGAAACACTTGTTGTTTGGTGAAAAGAGGTATATTTTGAGATGGGCCATCTGTATAAAAGCTTAGTTATTGTATACTGCAATTATTATTATTCTGATAGAGGTAAAATGATTTCAATATAAAATTACACATAGGAGCTTTTAAGATGACACTGAAAAATACACAACACAATACTAACAATGATTATGAAGTTTTATTGGCATAATGGTAATGTTTACATATTGATAGTTGAACTGATATCTATGTGTTGTAAGGTTGTCCATAATACAACCAAACAGCCATGCAAAATATGATTATACAAAATAAACTCAGTACAGGACCAGGAATTGTGGAACAAAAAGTGGAACAACAATTATCTAGCCAAACAAACAAACAAAAAATAAAAAGAAACAGAATCAGACATAGCGCCCTTGTGGTCATACAAGGAAGTACAAAATACTTGTCACCTATGTACATGTATACTTAAATTGATTTTTTTTCTTCATAAACATTTTAATATTTGAGCTTCAAGAATGCCTTTACTCGACATGTGTTTTTGATCTTATAACCATCCGATTTAGACTGGTTCTCTGAATTTCTTTCCTTAACACTAGGACCAGAGATTTCCATAGAGTGCATGTGAATTCTCATAGACTGAATATACTTGGCTCTTTTGCTCTTTTCTGGTTGTAGTCCTGTTGATAGGTTTTATCTGTGTGCTGTTTGTCTCAGGAGAGCCATTCTCATATACACGGTCGTCCTGCATCAAGAAAACACAAGTGCACTGGGTCATTGCAAAACAACATGTGGCTGGGTATTTTTGATCCTTTTTAAAGGGATAGTTCACCCAAAAATGAAAATTTTATGTTTATCTGCTTACCCCCAAGGTATCCCAGATGTAAGTGACTTTGTTTCTTCAGTAGAACACAAACAAATATTTTTAACTCAAACCGTTGCAGTCTGTCAGTCTTATAATGGAAGTGAATGGGAATCACGGCTTTGAGAGTCAAAAAAACATACACAAACAAAACCAATTAAACCCTGCGGCTTGTGACGATACATTGATGTGTAAAGACACGAAACAATTGGTCTGTGCAAGAAACTGAACCGTATTTATATCATTTTTTTTTACCTCTGATTCAACGTATGTCCGAACTATCCTGAGCACGTTCTCAACAGCCGGTGCGTGACACGTCTTCTTCTTCTTGCTTTAAGGCGGATCAGAGACTTATAAGTGCATTACCACCACCTATCTCTCAAATGGACCATTGACACTCTATCTACAATCTCAATTAGGAGTGTCAACGGTTCATTTGAGAGAGGTGGCGGCAATGCACTTATAAGTCTGCGATCTGCTGTAAAGCCAGAAGAAGAAGAAGACGCGTCATGCTCCGGCTGTTGAGAACGTGCTCAGGACTCGTCAGTGAGTGATGTACACAGTCTTTGGCATCATTCACGTCTTCAGCTTTGCTTTCATTGGGCAGCGTGAAGCCTGTCAACGAGCATATGGAAACATATATTAATGGCTCTATTTAATTGTATTTAAATTAAATTGGTTTTAAAATGTTGATATTAGACAGGGTTTGTTTATATATGTGCACATACCTTCTGATATCTTTAATTTTTTTCCTGTGCTGATGAACGGTGACCAATCCAACTGCAAATATGATCATGCTCAGACCACCGACAGCATACAGAACAGCCGTGGCCAAAAGTTTTGAGAATGACACAAATCGCCGCCATGGAATTATAAGGTTCTATCTGCATTCTGAGTGATTTTGAGATATTGAGCTTCAAAGATTTTGCATTCCATATAGCAAAAGTGATATGGGGAACAAGTCTCTTTCATACATGAAAATGACAGAGACCCTAAATGTATTCTAAAAGTACAATATCAAAATCCTCTCAAATTTGTAAATAGGGATTTTTGGTACAGGTCAAATGCAGATAGAACCTTCTAATTCTAAAAAGTCATTTTCCGCTTGGAATTATAAGGTTCTATTTTGCAAAACATTAATTGAAGCAACAATTTTCAAGAAATACAAACAGTTTACTTATAATTTGTTTTAAAACATAAAATTAGTGTATGAGAAAGGTAAATTGAATGCTTTTTATGAAATTTATTTCATATTTTAGGACAAATAATTTTTTTTCTTGTTCAAGTAAAGCATAAAAGGCAGTGCTAAATATTATGTCCAGTGCAAATGTTAATTTTATGCAGGAATATGGTGGGTAATTAAACACATCATTGCAGGAACGCAGACTTATAAGTGCATTACCCCCATAAACCAATTTAATTTAAATACAATTAAATAGCGCCATTAATATGTTTCCATATGCTTGTTGACAGGCTTCATGCTGCCCAATGAAAGCAAAGCTGAAGACGTGAGTGATGCCAAAGACTGTTGCCTTGTCCAAATGCCCACAATTGCAGTCTTTACACTTGACCACTTGACTACTTACATGACGTATTTCCTGTGTGTTCAAGTGAGCATGAAGACCACAAGTGTGCGTACAACTTTTCATTACCTGATGGGACACACTTATAGTGTTGTAAAAGTGCAAAGTGTTTACAGAGTTTTATTATTATTTTCAATACTTTGCATTTTAAAATCAACTTCTAAATGTCTGTTCAGTAGTCCTATAGATCAGTGTTTCCCAACCTTTTTTTTAGTCGCGGCACCCTTGGAAATTTTTACAAATTTGTGGCACCCTACAAAATTTATTTGGGCACAATATTTGAATTTCTAACTTCGATGTGATAATTTGAAAAGTATAGATATTCGGTACAACAGGGAAGAACTACAGAATATAATGTCATACAGATATTTTTAATATTATTAAAAAATTGTCCATCAATGGTGGCAATCAGTAGGCTAATTTCGAATGAAGAGACCAATTTATACGACAGATTTTAATGTAGGCTTTTATACATATGTAAACATTATTTAATTACCATTATAACTAGCTATCTCACACATTTTTGCTCACTCAGTGTTTTTTTAATTTTACAGTGGGGTAATTTTGGTGCAATTAGTTCTTCCCGAGTCACATTAAAGATTTGTTCAAAATGAACGAATCGTTCAAGAACGACCCAACACTACTAAATAAAAACCTTGCTGCTCAAATAAGGCAATGAGGCATTAAAAGTCGGACAGCCCACAAATATATTTATTTACACAATAAAAAAACACATTCAGTTATGAGATCTTTGCTTACACCAAACATGCAGTTTGTAGTCCACAATTTTTTTTTGAAGCATGTAGAGTATTTTTTTTGTAAAATGCACAGTGTTATAGGTTACTGTGTCTTCTGACCTTGTACTTGGTCCACAACCTTGAGCAAGCATGCATGCTAATGGCTGCATATGTAAATGACTGTTGTACAAGTGCTGGGGATTGTGTGTGTATTAATCTGCAGATGGGTCTCTGTGAGCTTCTTGTAATCACCGGCAGTGTTCAGAGAAAAAAAATAATACTTTTCTGTATTTTAGATATAATCACAAGTCAATTCACTATGTAACTGCATTTATGTCCATAAATAACGTACTACACAAATGGTCCACTAGAGGACAATATCAAAGGAGATGTACACAGTTATTGCTAAACATACATACAGCATAACATAGAATCATTTACTGATATTTGACAGCTAGAAGACTTGACAATGAACAAATAGAAAGCTAACAGCTCTACCATGTTTTGTCAACTTCTGAGGTTTGTGCAATTGAATGCCTTATTACAAAACTATTGTAAATACGCATACTTTGAAATATTATAATAAGTATTTAGATTTTTGTCTCTCACCTCTGTAGTATAAGCGGTGTCTTGGATTTCAGCATCAACTTGATAATGAAAAAGTGCCATGCATTTGTGCTTACGATCGGAGCTGTGTGACTTTCTCCAACCCACTGCTCCAAATATAATCACCATCACAGTCAGACCAATGGCTGTGATCATCAGAGGAACTAAAACATACATAGACAGGGGAAACGTGACAGACTGTGATGTTAGTCATGTGATTGATGAAATAGTCACACTGACATTGCGGTAATATCTCACCAGGGTGAACCTGGTGTAGAAACTAAGTTATGGGGGCTTGCACTTCAAGGAAGGTGGCTTGATCATGAAATGTTTCTGGCAGATCTCACATTACATGCAAAGATGTGGCAACTAATGTAAGTTCATTTCATTTTATAGTGTGTGGATTAATAATCCTTACCTGAGGAGAGTGAATATTGTGCACCGCTCTCATTAGATGCTGGTTTGGATGAAACAACAGGACCTTTAAATCCTTTAAATGTACAAGAGAGACAACATCATCCCATAATTTGATACATAGATAAATACAATAATATTCTGATTAGTTCAGTACCTGTTGAAAATGAGGTTGTGGTGTCAGCAGATGCTGAAGATGTGGAGAATGAACTTTGTGTCATGGAGGATTGAGAACTTGCTGCTGGTTTAGGAGTTGTGGGTCTGTTTGTGTCCAAGGCTATAATAGTTATTATTAACATGTAGATGAGTATTTTACACTTCCTTAAATCTACACCAAATCCTGTGCATCATTCTTACCTTTAGATACTGTCAGTTTGACTTCCTTATATGTGTCTTTAACAGATCTGTTCACTGCACACCAGTAAATCCCAGAGTCTGACTCCTGTAGATCAGTGATGCTCACAGTGAAGGTTCCAGCTCCATGATCCTTCAGTGTGTATCTTCCTCTAGGTGACTGGTCAGATTTCACTAAAACATCTCTGTCTTCACATGGTTCTCTGCAGAAATACTTTATATTGGTTGAAGCCAAGCCGTGGGAACATGTAATTGTGACACCTTTTCCACTGTATCCATGTATATCAGCTCCATCTGTAACTGAAATCCCAATTTCTGCTGAATGTAATAAACAACATAATGTACGTAACAGACGTTTCTATTTTATATCTGGTGTTTTAATAATATTGAACGATTTTGATCAGTAGATATTATTTACATCAGTGTGTAGTTATACATAACATGGTGGCATATGTGTGCTAATCTAACAGTCTGCTGGGATATTGTTCTCTCAATTTTATAGTTGTTACTGTCAATTTCATGGCTTTCAGTACATCAGCTTTTGTCTGCTTGTTGACTGTCTAGTTTTGCATACATGGAATAGTGAGGACAGCATACTGTACATTGAATAGCACCAATTATTAAAGTTTGAGTTCAACAGTGAAATTGAAATATGAGCATAAATCAGATTTGCTGAGACTGGCTGTACCATGTTATACTCCAATTACACACTTACTCTTCATGGACTAAAGAGATATGGCACCATAAATTTGCTTAGTAATGTTGTGCTGTGACAAACTATGACCTTTGATTGTTATTGTAAATATGTAATTCTCCAAAACACACAATGTTTCACTCACACTGTGCAGAGACAGTTAGATGTTTACAGATTACAGCAGTAGCTGTTTAAAGTAACTCTGATTTAGGTTGTATCAACATGACTTTTGTTCCCTCTGTTTGCATGTTCAGAATTATACGCTTCATCTCATGATGCATTTGGCACATGTACATGTCATGAAGAGGAAACTGGTTGTTTATTGACTTCTTTACTTGAACACAGATATGAGGCATAACAAGGGTATCAATCTAGTGACTGATATTTTAAGTAGAGGAACAAACACAGTCATCCTGAATACAAAACAGCAACGTAAATGTGGAGCGAACTCACCTGACAGACAAATCCAGATCCCCAAAACATAGAGGAGCTTCATTATTGTGTGTAAAACTTGTTATATTCCACTGT